CCAGGGTTTTTATGGAATATGGGCTGTTATAGCCCCTCTTCTTGATTATTGGAGAAAAAGATGCCTTGACTATACAAAAAATTAAGGTTGTGACTGTGTCATTATTGGCCAGAGTTTATGTTTTCTTTGGGTGTTTGTGTTGTAGATGGGGTCCTTTAACACAGACCCAACTGGGATATTTCTTTAGAAAAGTTAAGTGTAATAAGGTGATCAACTTGTTTGAATATGAGGGGCACCTAGTAAAATTTTGGTCACCAGCAGAGAAAGCTAAATGCAAAAGAGATGCAAAAAAAAAAATGTAGTCAATGCTAATGAGGCCTTGCTACACCAGCTCCACTGCAGTTTTGAAAGTTGGTTTGGATTGCTTCAATAAATTGAGGGAGAAATTACAGACTTCTGATTTGGATGTACAGAGGAACCTTCTTTTATCATTTTCAATTTTATTTATTAAAGAGAATGCCGATGAGATAATGGAATATGAAATAAAAGTAAAACAAATAAAGTAGAAATAACACTGACTTCGAAAACTAGTTAAAATCAAAAAAGGTTTCAGTTGAAACTAAAAGCAGTCATCTGTTACGAGGAAGAGATAAAAAGAAGTAATCCACAGACTCCTGAAAAGTTTGACAATCCAATTAGTGAAGAGGAGTGAATCTGATGCACATGTTGGAAAAGTATTATGCCTTCTTCAGATTTGGTGTGAAATGTTGACAACATCAAAGACTTATGAAACTCAAAATGTCCCCCTGCCATCAGAATGTCGACTGCAGCCATTCTCGAGCATGGCTCATCCAAGGAGCATTTATACAGGCTCAGTGGACTTAGTGGGCACCTGCATTTCTCACGGGCTCTATTCCTTTTCCCATCCTTTTTTCTTTTTCTCTTCGGATTGCTTAATTTTGATTGCTTTATATTCAAGTCCAGAGGTTCTAGCTCCTACCGATTAACTCAAATAAACTTTTGGACCTGCTGAGGAATTTATCATTTCAGATTTTATACCTTCAACTTCAGAATATCTGTTTGGTTCTCTTCATAGTTTACGCCTTCTTGCTGGTGTTCTATATTTGGTGAGACACTTCTTCAGACACGGTCTCCTTATTTCTGTATTTCGAACAACTGCTTTGAACTCTTTATTGGCTAAGCTCAACACTAGGCCTCCTCAAGGAGAGTTTCTGTAGCTTGCTCATGCCCCTATATATGGATCACACTCTGTTACTTTCTATGTCTTGGAAATTTTTGTTGAGACTGAACATTTTAGATGATGCATTGAGGAGACCTTGTCGTGCTGTGGTTCTCTTATTCACTTGCTTCTTTGTTTAGTGACCTGTCTAGGAGCTTTCAATAGTGTACTCCCCAAGTGTGAGGCCACTGGTATCACAGTGTAGCTGTCACAGCCCTGGGCTTGTGCATTGTCGCCCTGACCACACAGCCCCCACCGCCCCCCAGGACCTCGCTGTGAACCCAACTCTCTTTGGTTCTTTCTCTGTTCTTCTTGCTAAACCTCTGACTTTTTTGCCTCTACTTGTAGCACACCCAAATGTTAGTTTTCAGTAGCTGCTAGCTGATTGCTCTATTGCTTTTGATAGTGTCCTGCACAGTAATTTTTCTTCCATCTGACCCAGTTAAATTCATGAGGTCAGGGTGTCGTGTCTGTAAGACTTGTTTGAACTTCAGGAGGACCTTTGCTCTCTTTTCTCTGGGTCTCTCTGCTACACTTCCAGTTGGTTTGCCAGTTTACTTCTTACTGCTAGTAATACGGAGCTACTGACCTCCTCTTAATTGCTCCCTACTAAGATTTCTTTTGTGTTTGACAGTAGCCTTGCTCATGATTTCCTGCATGCTCTGTCCTCAATAATCCCCTTAGGGAAAACTATCAAGTTCTCTGTCATGCCTGTCCCTCTAGGGAAAACCCCTGTCCCTCTAGGGAGCTAGGAGGGAGGGTGGCCGCTTCTCCCTGAGTGATGCTCCTGATCTACGTGTAAGTCACTGGATGGGGAACACAGTGCCAAATCTTTTTCCTTGGCCTCTTTCCTCATGGAAAGGCAGCCCTACAAGCAAACTGGAGAAGGAGGCATGTCATATGCTTTGCCTTCTCCAGTATTCTTTGCCTGCCACAGTTGGGGTAGTGTCTCTGTTTCAGACTGGGAAATAAAAAAGGGTGCCCGTTTTGTGAGTTCTTACCTGTTCACTTATGAACTTGAGACAAGACCCAAAAGCAGACATGCAGAGAGAACGGATAGAAAATAGATTAGTTGACCACATGTTGCTGGATATGGTCTGTCCTACTGGTAGTACCAGGGTGCAAATTGAACCTGAAAAAGCAAGGCAGTAATGCCTGCCTGTCTTTAGTGTTATAAAGTCTACCTGGCCATTTACCTCCTTCCCAGAAGCCCCCATTCTAAAAGTCAGGTTCATGGCATACTGGGAGTTGTAATTCTTAGTGCCCGAGATCTCATCAACATGGAGATGAGGGTTGGGTCTGTTCAGGACATCATTCATTGACTCCAAGTTTGTTGCTCACTATCCTTCTAACATCTCCACCCCGTGAGTGGGGATTGGTGAGTGAAGGCAGCCTCAGTCTTATTGGCCACTCTCTCTCTGCGCCCCCACCCTCCAATAAGCTATCCACAATACAGATTTGGAAAGTATAGGAGATGCCAGTGGACTACCCTTACCGGGATAATACTGTAGCCTTCAACTCAGGAGCTAGAAAGATTAGCAGGAAACAACTTCTGTCATGCTGAGCTAGTAAAGACATAGAAGAGGGTTATGGTCAGATGCCATGGGCTTTCACTGTTCTTACCAAGATTTTGTAGATATTATTGAATAAATATGTCTTCATTTGTTGTATGGGCCTTAGGGGAACTCCTAGATACTTTAAATGTTGTTTTTCAAACATCACTTTCCACAGTTAAGGGGTTCATTTACGGAGGAGAGAGTGTACCAAGCTGCTTTCACCTGAATCCCAGAAGCTTCGACTCATTGCCTGGTTTTGGAAACAAAGTTTTATTGGAACAGTCTCTCTCATTGGTTCACTTGTCCACAGTGACTGTCTTGCTCCAGTGGCAGAGTTTTGTATGTACAATAGAAATCAGAGAGCCAGCCTGGAGAGTCTAAAATAGTTACTTCTTTACAAAAGAAGTTTGCTGGGGAATGATCGCATTCTCTTTCCATGGAAAGCAAAGTTATTGTCATGTGGAGTGGAGATGGAGAGCATGCACAGAATCATAGGAAAAGTCATGTCAGTCGATCTAAAATCATTGTATTTCTGGTTGTAGTTGTTTATGATATTGGTTAGTTTTAACTTTTAATTTTTTGTGACATCTTTTCTTTTTCTAAATCATTATTCCATTTTATTTCTTGTTTTGTAATCTTCTTAAAGTGAACCCCAAATCATAGACGTTTCCTCCCACAGGGAGGGCGGGGAGCAGTGTGGTCGGACTTAAAGCCTTGCACGCCAGTGTTCTACTGATGACCAACAGTCCCTGACTTAACCCTGAGTCTACCTGCGATATTCCAGATTTACAGTGGTGCAAAAGCAGTACACTTAGAGCAGCAGAGTATGCACTTTAAATTTTGATTTTTCCCCTGGCCTGGCAATGTGCGGTGTGGTACTATTGTGATCCACAGTTTCCAGGCTGCCACGCAGGCCCGCGGGCAAGCAGCTGCACTCGACAGTGTCCTGGGTTGACAGTGGTTTTGGATGTTGTGTTTTATATTTTTGCATCCTATCATGTCTCTAAAATGCCCATTGTTTCCTGCTTCAGAGATAGTCACCACATTGCTCTAGAGTCAGCTCTGTGGTGGGTATGTGGCCTGCGTGATGGCTGCTGTCAGCGATCGGAGCACATTCCTGGGCTCACAGGTGATGTCCTGTGGGCTAGGCATAGTCAGACATTTTCAACTTGAAGTATTTTCTTTTGTTCGTTTTTTGTTTTTTAAACATTTTATTGATATTATACCGTAAAATTTCCCCCTTAACATCTTCATCATTCCCCAAATAGTTACCATTTCTCCTCCTCCTAAGCCTGAGCAAGTACTCACCTACTTTGTGTCTTTGTGGATTTGGATTCTGGGCATGTCACATGAATGGAATTGTACAGTATGTGGTCTTTTGAGACTGGCTTCTTTCATTCAGCATGTTTTCAAGGTTCTTTCGTGATGTAGTCTCTATCTGCTGATGTATGCAGATTCCATTTTTCCTTGATAAACTTATATGGTTCATACAAATTTTGTATGGTCATGTATTTTCATTTCTCTTGGGTACATGCCCTGAGTCTGTAATATGTTATTGTTCTTGTTGCATGATTTTTACTAAACTGCTTCCATAACATTTGTAATGTTTATCATGTGTGCCACTGAAGTCTCTGGTTAGCTTAATGGTCAGCTAATTATTAGGCAGAGCTTTTCTTAAATGCCTTTTAATAAGTCTTCCAAGCCTTTGCCATAGGACTCTGTTGGCATGTTGGGGTATGTCTTATCAACTTGACGCATTTTCAACTTTCATTGGGTATATCAAGAAATGGCCCTATCATAAGTTGACCAAGATCTGTATATTTGTATATTTTTCAATAATAACAGCATGTCATCTGTTATTTGTTTCTATAGTATTTCCTTTAAATAGCAATTTTTTTAAAATTTAAGTAGATCTTATGTCTTCTGAGTCATTGTCTTCATGTGCCAATATGTGTCTGTGACGCGTCCTGTGTGTACACGTGTGTTCTATTCTGGTGACGGGGTGTGGGGAGGCTCTGACTGGAGAGTAGGATAGACGAGTCTCTGAGGTGTGGGAGGACAGAGCTGTGGGGTCATAAAGGGGAGCTGGGTAGGCTTACACCTCACCGGGCCTCGCCATGGGGCCCTGCTGTACAGGTGAGTAAGGTCTGCTCTTGGGGCCTCCAGGGCCAGGCAGACATCACAAGCACTGCAGGCCAGGGGTCCGGGCCATCTGAGCAGCCCTGCTGTGAGCGGGGGGTCAATGGAGTGCTCTTCTCTTTCAGCATTGCTTTAAAGGACATTGCATCTGGCTGACCCCTGACATTCTCAAACGGGACGGCAACTGGGGTGCATGGAGTCCATTCGGCTCCTGCTCACGCACCTGCGGCACAGGTGTGAAATTCAGGACCCGCCAGTGTGACAACCCACAGTGAGTAGACCCTGACATTTCTCACCTTCCTGGTTGGCAATTTCTTTCACAGGCCCCTCTCTGGCCAGCTCTATCCCACAGGGCTCTTGTGGCCACATGCCATTTCTGTAGGTGGTGTGAGGGTGGGCAGCCCTGGGCCTTCCTCAGTCCCTTGGAAGAAGGGGAGATTCACAGTAGGGGGGGGCTCATGGCCTGGTAACACAGCCTGCTGGGAGTCTCCGGGCCTGTGCACGCCTGGGGCTACTCCCCCAGCTGACCTGCAGCCTACTCTGTGTCTAGAGTGGGTTAATCTCTCCTTATTAGTCAGAGAGGATAGAAGGCAGAACAGAGAGGAGCCCAGGGGGTAAAGAGGAGGTTCTCTTGAGGCCCAGAATACCAGGTGCCTAAGCAGGGGAGCCGCTGCCCAAAGTCAGGCAACAGTCAGGGTCAGTGATGTGTCCAGTGACCCCTAGGGCCACAGCTGTCATGGAACCCGCTGGATTTTCCCCAGCTGCTCTCCCACTCCCACATCTCCTGCAGGCCCAGGCCTGGTGCTTCCCTCTCCTCCACTCACAGTGCTTCCCTATCCACTCCCAGCCACAACTCCTGCCTGAACCCTTAGCCTTGGCCTTACCCAGTGCAGAGCCCATGAAGAGGACATAGAGCCAGAGCTCTGGACCCTGGGCCCCTGCAGCCCCCTATTACTTGGGGTATGTCAGTTAGCCTCCCACACTGGGCCTCAGTCACACTATCCTGTGGTGTTATTTGGGGTGTTTTTTTTTTTCTTTTTTTTTTTTAAGATTCATTTATTTATTTATACAAGCACTGGGTACAGTCAGAGGCGCAGGAGGGTGAGAGAATTCGCCAGAGCAGAGAGCAGAACAGGCAGTGACGAAGAACACTGCTGAGGGGAGCAGCGGGCGGCAGGAGAGGTCTGCGCGCCATGTGGGACCCTCGCCTGGCAGCCTGGGATGGAACCCACGCTGCAGAAGCTGCAGGCAGTTTCACAACCCAGCGCTCAACCGCTGCGCCACCCGGGAGGCCCTATTTTGGGTGTCTTTATAGTAGTGCGAACAGGACTTAGTGTAGAAAGAACTCTCCCCCACTCCCCATTAACATCAGTTCACTCTGGTCTTCTGTTTGCCCAGCAGTTCCCTCAGCTGGGGAGACGTGTGGCTGTTATATTTCATCTTTCAGCCTATTGAATGTCTTAAAGATTTTGACTTACATGAAATATTAAAATTCTGTAATTTCACATTCAAAATGAAAAAGACTCCTTGGTTCTAAATTGGGCACCATAACAATGCCAGGCCCAAATACAGCTGGTAGGCAATGATGCAGGCTCTCCGCTTTTTGGGCAACCCCACCCAACTGCCATCACCCACCTTCTCCACCCTCCTAGGCCCCCTAGGTATTTGGATTGGGGCCCTAAACCCAAAGCCTCAGTCCCAGTTTCCTCATCCTTCTGTAGGCTCTGCCATGGCCTCAGCAGAAATGATCTGAGACTTTCTGGGCATGTGGGTTTTTTCTGGAGGAGCAGGTCTCTAATTTCACATCAGTTTATCAGAGGAAGCTGGAAACACAAAGGTTAACCCCGCAGGTCTCTGGATCCCATGAGCCAGTTTCGATGCTCTATTTGGCCAGGCTGCTGCAGCTTCTCTTCCCAGGCTCTGAGTTGGCCACTGGGAGCCAAAAGGGGTCCACAGCTGTGGGAAGAGAAGTCAAGACCACCCTGGCCAGTCAGATCTGTGGGAGGGGACCCAGCAGTGAGAGACCCATACCTCAGAAACACCTGTGCTTGGAGCTGGCCATCTGAAATTGTGTCCGGAATTCTCTCCTCTCCCTCTGGCCAGCTCTTGCCAGGGCACTAGGCCAGCTGCAAAGGCAGGAAGGGGCCTCCAGGTCTGCCCCGGGACCCTTCAAGTACCCAGGGCCCTATTACACTTGCCCTGGGGGTGATACTGACAAGATAGGGAGTTAGAAGTGCAAGAGGGAATGGGGTACTGGATGAGGACTGCAGGGTTCCCACCCTGTGGTGCAGTGCCTGGCATACAGCAAGCACCCAATAAATGTGATCAGTTTCTGCTGCCCTTTCACGTGTTGCCGGAGTAACTCAGGCTCAGGGCATCATCGCCAGGAGACCCGATATGGCCTATGCTCTGCTTCTCCGTCCTGATTACTCAGCTGTTGTGCCCAGATCCATGCTCGCTGGCTTCTCACAGCCTTCTTGTCAGCAGCCCCCGGGGACCCCACAGGCCTCCCTTTCATACCTGCTTCCTGGGATGACCTCTGGACCTCACCTCTGCCCCATCTTTTAGTTCCTGCTTCCTGTGCTCATCCACAGCTTCTCCCATGGCACAGGGCATGTGTGGCAATGCCCACACGATTACTAGCTGTCTCTGCTCTGGGACTGAGGTCCCTCTGCTCTTTGCTTCCCCACTCTGGTAATTGGAAAGCTGCAACAGATGGCAATCTCCAGCTCCTCTGTCGCTCATCCTCCCTGTTCCCTTGAATCTCCAGCTGATATTGTTTTGGAGTTAGCAGGGATTTCTGTTCAGATCAATACAGCTTCTGCCTGGCCTGGACCAGCAGGGGCTCCAGCAATGCCCAGCCCCTTTCTGCTGTTTGCAGGACGGTTGCTGCACAGATGCCCCCAGCCCCCCACACCTACACCCAGGCATGTACCCCCTCCGGGGACACCTTATTAGTTTTCTCATTGGTCTGTGCTCCCTCAGTGACCAGTGGGGCCTCAGGCTCTGCTCAGTTCTGCCATGCCTGAAGATGGCAATGCGGAAGCCCCCAGCTCTTTCCAGAATGCAGTCCTGCCATGCCAAGTCCTGCCATGCCAAGGGCACCTGCTGGCCTGCCAGAGTCTTTTCTGTAGAGGTTTAGTATTTTGTGGATTGTGCTGTTCTCAGTAAAGTGAGGGAATCACAGAAAGGCAGTGCAAGACCTCTGAGTTGAGGAGAGCCAGTGAATGGAATATCCTCTGTCTGCCTGACATTAGTTGAAAACTAGTGCAGTGGACTCTGCTGACTTGAAATTGCTCTTTGGGTTCCCATCATGCATCCAGCACAGGCTCAGATGTAGGTGAGACTCATCTAGCTCCTGTGTCCTGAGGCTCACAGCTGGGAGGGGCCTAAGCTCACGCCACAGCCCACCGTCAGAGCAGTCAGTGGTGGGGGGTCGGGAGGGGCTGTCGAGGAGGGGCCGAGCAGATTACTCTTCTCTACAGGGTCCCTAAAGGGGAATTACCTGTCTCTTCTATGCTTGATGCTCTGAGGCTCAGGAGATTGGGCAGGGCTGGGTTCCTTCACTCAGCAGAGCTGCCCTTTGACATCTGAATCCCCAGATACCACAAATGGCAACCCCGCATTGCTAGTGGCATCCAGCTGCAAGGCCTTTGCTTTCTTCTCCAGTCCGGCCAACGGGGGTCGCACCTGCTCAGGACTGGCCTACGATTTCCAGCTATGCAGCCCCCAGGACTGCCCTGATGCCCTCGCTGACTTCCGTGAAGAGCAGTGCCGCCAGTGGGACCTATACTTTGAGCATGGCAACGCCCAGCACCACTGGCTGCCACTGGAGCATCGGGACGGTGAGCCCCTGCAGAGAGGGCAAAGGGGTGGTTCTGCAGAGGCCCCTCAGTTGCTCTGTGCCGCTGATACTGCAGAAACAAAGTTGCCAGCTACACTGGGTTGCCAGGAGAGCCCATCCTGGCTGGGGTGGCTGCCGGGGCCCACTCCTGGGCAGGAACTGGGGGCTCTTGGCAGAAATGCAGTCCCAGAGTCACCAACCTTGGCCTGGCCAAAGACGCTGGAAAGAGGGGCTGGTAGGAGTTAGGACCAGGCTCCTGCAGCTGCCACCTGGTGGGTGAGGCTGGACCGGCATTCTAGGTTAGATGGGGAACCCTGCCAAGCAATCAGGTTACCTCTGCCCTTCAGCTTGGAACCTTACTTCTTAGTGTTAGAAAGTGTGGTTCATACCAGTTTAAGCCTTAAAAGGCATTTGCTGGGTTGTGACACTGAAAAGTCTGGCAGTTTTTAACATGATAGTATATTTATTCCATGTAGATTCTTTCCCACTTTTGATGGAATTTTAAGCAAAGTTTCTGTACCTTCCAGATGTCAGGCAGTGGTGGGAGGCTTGGTGTGGGCTTGCTTGCTTCGTGGCCCACCTGCTGTAAGCAGGGACAGGGACCCAGACCTGACAGGTCCCGTGGTCCCCACTCAGAAAGAGGCTGTGGTGTGACCTGTGTTTTAGTGATCTCTGGGAGCAGAGCTGGAAAGGGAAGGCGCCAGTGGGCATCTGGCCTTACTTGGAGTTTCAGAGGAGAATGGCTGACAAGTGTCTTCAAGTGGAGAGCTGGCAAACAGCCATCTGTCCTTCATCCCTTTTCCCGCCTGCCTCCTCTTGGGGGTCTCTGGACAGGGCTCAGGGCCCTTGGGGATCTGAGACCCTGCCACACCAACAGTCTGCTTCAGCTGGAGAAATCCCTTCCTAAGTCCCATACCCCAGGGTCAAAGGTCCCAAGACACAGGGGGTCCCCTTCCCCTTCTCTCTAGAGCAGATAGGTGGAGGCGGGAGGGGTGAATTCTAAGAAGACCCTTGTGGGAGTTTCTTCCTCAGCTTGCATGGTGCTGCTCTTGAGAGAACTTGGGGAAGAAGCTGTGCAGTCAATGCCTCTCCTCACTGCATCCCGTTCCCTTCCAGCCAAGGAGCGCTGCCACCTCTACTGCAAGTCTAAGGAGACTGGGGAGGTGGTGTCCATGAAGCGCATGGTGCATGATGGGACACGCTGCTCCTACAAGGACGCCTTCAGCCTCTGTGTGCGTGGAGACTGCCGGGTGAGTGCCCTAAGGCGAGGTCGGTTTACCTCTCTGGTGCCAGGTAGCCTCAGGTCTGAGTGTGGCTGGGAGCTACCTGGGGAACTTGGAACCTCCATCTCAGAGATTCTGATTTTGTAAGCTGAGGCCAGGAGTGTGGGTCGAGAGCTCTCTAAGTGATGGCAGTCCTTGTGAAGCTCTGCCTTGCCCTTGCACCCCACTGGGGTGCACTGGACAGCATTCTTTTCTTGTTTTATTACCTGTTTTTTTTTATATATATTTTTTACAACATTTTTCATTTTTGTACAATGTATGCATTTTCATCATGGTTATAGTCCCCATACAATTCCCACCCCCCCCCTTGTTTTCATCCTATTCCCTCCTCCCCGCCACCCCCATAGTGTGTCTCTGGTTTATAGTTGCTTGTTGATTTAGATTTTTTACTTTATTATAATTAGTCTTTTTTCCTGGTCCCTTATTCAGGTTTTCTAAATTTCTGCTATGAGTGAGACCATCCGGTATTTTTCTTTTTCTTTCTGGCTTATTTCGCTGAGCATGATCCCTTCCAGCGCCATCCATGTTGCTGCAAATTGCATGAGTTTATCTTTTTGAATTGCTGAGTAATATTCCATTGTGTACATGTACCACATCTTCTTGATCCAGTCATCTATTTTTGGGCATTTGGGTTGTTTCCAAAGCTTAGCTATTATAAATAGTGCTGGACAGCATTCTTAACCAGGGCAACCCACAGTGGGTCCTGCTGGTTTGGCCCCTTTTAGATATGCCCAGCGTTGTTTTCTAGTATTACAACACTTCTGGTTTCAGTCTTAGACTGTCAAAAGAAACAATGGTGAGGTAACCTCAGCTTACGATAATAACACGATCACAGACTTAAGCCATGTCCCTCCGCCCCACCAGATTTCCTACAAACAACAGAAAGCCTCTCTAAAGTTTGTGTAGACAGGATTGATTGCAGGTGCCACAGAGGCCAACTTATCTTACCCTCCTAAGTTGTGAGTATCCTCAGGAAGTCTCTGGCAGAGAGCCTGCAGGACTCTAGAGGCCCCTAGAAGGGGAGGGTGAGGGTAGATGAGCCAGGAATGCTTAGGACTTCCCTTGCTTCATGTGGTTTCAGTAGGACCTGCCCTGAGGTGAAGGAGTCTCCTCCACTCCTCCAAGATGTGGCAATAGGCAACTAGGAGGAAGCTGGCTCAACTCAAGCCTGGCAGGGGAGCCAGGCCACCGTCTGCTAAGATGGTGAGATGCAATACAGTTTATCCACTGCTATGAACCTGTAAGCCAAAAATGATGGCAATGAAAGAAGGAATTACTAATAAGTTATATGGAACATTTTTTGAGCATTGATAGATTCAGAAGATAGCCTACCATATCATACCACATAAAACATGAAATAACACTAGCATATGGTAAAAGCAAGAGTGCTACGATAAATCCACAGCCTCTATGAAGTAGTTCCCAGGGCAGAAGCTTGGTGGGACCTGGTGCTTGAGGTACATGGTGCTTTTGGAAGTGACTCTCTCTATGCGAAACAAACGCTGACAGCTATTTTCACTCTTTCTTGTAAAATCACAAATTCTTTTCAAATCTCTTCCAGTTTGTAAAAACAGGTACAAATGCAGCTCTTTCGTAAAAGTGAAGCTTAACTGGGCTTTCAAAAAGCAGGAGAGAGACTTACACTTACCAACAAAGCAGTGTCACCTTTGTACCTGTAGGGGTTTACTTTATGGGCTGACTGAGCAAGACACAGAGAAGCCAGTGGTACAGTGATTTCTGTGTCGTTTCCCGAGAGCACCCGCATGACACAGGGTGACAGAGACAGCAGCTGCAGGAAAGGCAAAGCCCAGCAAGGGACCCCGCTCACAAATGGCCACTTGAATCACTTCTGAAGAATCTGGGGAAGAGGGATGAGTGATCTCTAATTATCTGGTACCTGGCCTTGGGGGAGGTGTCAGGGGTGGCTGGGAGTTTGGTTGGATGGGACATGAAAGCAGCACCCCCTTTGCTCTCTCTGAGAGCTGGAGGGGCAGCCGCTCCCCATCCAGCAAGATTTTTAAGATGCCGAAATATGAGACACAGGAAAACAGTTTAAATCATGACTAATATAGGCAGTAAGCATGGGAAACAGTAAGAGTAGCCTTTTTTTTAAGGTATTTTGCAACATACAACATAACAGACTCAAATGGAATAAAATCATATAGGTGACTAGAAAATAAATGGCCTAGAATGGCATGTGTTCATCTTACATGTATTTAAAGAATAATAAGGCAGCATCTGTTGTGAAAACGCATCTATCAGATTTGTTATAAAGAGTGAAACATATGAGAATGTTTATTATATAGGGATATATAACTTTTTCTAGGAATAAAAAGTTTTTATTCAATGTTATTAAAACTACTAATATCTTCACCTTCTAAATGAGGATACACAGACGTGGGAAATTTTCATATAATTTAATATAATTCTTGGCATTAAGAACTTGTATTTATATGCTTTTGATATTATTAGTAATATAGGTAATTGTTTATAGCTGTGCTAATATCATAAAAGCTTCATGAGTATATCTTCTAGAAAATTCAACTTCTGGCATAACACTATTAAAATAAACTTCAACTTTATTTTTGCCAGCACTATAACTGTATTCTCTCAGAGCGTTCTGCAGTATTGCTTACATGTAAGAATATTGACTTTCTTGGAATACAAGAAGTACAAGTTACTAACTTTCGTGTTACTGGTGCTTTTCATGAACACTTTATGAAAAATAAACATGCAGTTGGTGCCTAATTCACTAAGAAATGGAACCTGATGGACTTCATGACATCTATATTATGTACTTCTAATGTATTGGATGTGCAAGCTATTGCTTCACTACTAACACTGGCAATGAAAGAAATGAAATATTTCGTTCGTTAGTGGCGGTGTTGAATGGGTAACCGTAGGATGATGCCTTCTGCATAAGCACATGTTTATATATGTGTATATGCATATGTGTACGTAGGTGCTGTCAATTAGAATATCGACACCAGTGACTTAGGAGGTGAATTGACAGACATATAGGGAGAATCAAGACATACACACATACCCCTACACATACATGCCACAAGGCAGGGAATCAAAAGAGAATCAGAAATTAAAGAGGCTGATGGGGTCATTTTGCTTTAATAAAGGACATAATCCATTACCTTGATAAAATAATGACTTGGCAACCAAATAAAATTATTATTCAAAAACTGCGATAAAAAGGGGGAAACTGAATTAAGTTAGTTGTAGCAAAAATCTAGTAACTCTTTGGTAGGGTTTCACAACATATGGGAAGGAAGAAAAACAATACCTCTTTGGCTGTGGCCCTTCCCTTGCAACACTGCCTCACCTTCCTCCAGGGCTTGAACGGAAGCAGCAGATAGAGCCACTAGGAAATTGTGGTGGGGGGAGGAGGGCCCAACCTGCGCTGCCACTGACCCTGATAAAGGCCAATGAAGAAAAAAGTAGGAAAAAAACAGACCATGTTCATATCTCTCCAGATTTGACAGATCAAGTAGCTAATTTATTCTGTTTTCCTTTTGCTCACTTAGAGAAACTGTTAGAGAAACTGTTTTAAAACATGGCATGTTTTTCTTTATCTACAAACCCCCTTCTTCAACCACTTGTATTTCCAGTTAGTGTCTGTGGCTGTAAAGGGGCTGTAAGCCTTTTTAGGATGAGCCCATGAGTCAGAAACTCTTGTGTCAGAGCTTATATTCTCATATAAGGCCGATGCCCTCACATGAGCTGGTTTCTGTTAAGTTGGGCTTCAGAATCTGGGGGAGTGCCTTCCTATGCCGCTTCCATCTCTGGCCCCTTTGTAGACCTGTGTTAGAACCCAGCTACTTCTACAGCTCTGAGACCTTTTGCTCCTGCTTATTCCATGACAAGCCATGAACATTCACCCCTTCAGGTGAGAGGCCAGAGCAGCCCTTCTCCCAGGCGACATGTGCCTCTAAGATCCTGAACCCAGTTGCAGTGCAGGTTTTGGCTACACCACCAAGCAGTTCTCCTTAGACCAGTAAGATGGCCCATAATTCAGCTAAATTCTGGTACCATCTATCCAGAGATAGAGTCCACAGATTAAGAGCTCAGTCCCACACACTACCCCCCACCCCAGCTTCACATGTCTCAGTTGTTACCTGTGCTTCTGAGTCACTGGCTATATATTAAAGGCTCCCCTGACTTCCTCTTCCTCCTCAGGTTTGATTAATTTGCTAGTGGCTCACAGAACTCAGCAAAATGTTTTTCTTACGAGGGCATCATTTTGTTCTGAAAGAAGATAAATCAGGACCAGCCAGATGGAAGAGATGTGCAGGGCAGATGTGGGGAGGGCAGGCAGCCTCGTGCCCTCTGCCGATGCCTCACTCTCCCCAAATCTCCACTGACGTACCCTTTTGGGGTTTGATGAGGCTTTATTACCAGATTACAACTGATAAAATCTTTGGCCACTGGTGAGTGAACTCACCCACCAACATCTCTGTTCCCTGTGTGCCTTACCCATTGACTTTCTACCACACCCCATCCCTGTGCCCCCAGCCCAGGCCCCAGTGAGTGGAATTCAACTTTTTCAAGCAGCGTGCCCCGCTGCTTCTGCGAGAACTGAAAACAGGAACGAAAGCTAGTTAACCACACCCAGCCCACCCTGCAGACAGGTGGATTGCTGTGGCTTCATAGCCACACATTCAAAACTGATGTGTGCCTCTGTAGTCCTTTAAGGCTGCAGAGCCGCTGCCCTCGAAGGTGAGAAGCAGGCGAGCCCTTCTTCATCACGTGGCTCCCCTGCCCAACCTGCCTCCTTCCGAGTTATACAGCGTCACCTGGCGGCCCAGCTCCGTCATTAAGTGGGGCAGGGAACACGGTGCCCCTCCTTTACACACGGAGATGCCTCTTACAGTGGAGATGTTTCTGGGACGTGGCCACCGCAGGAGAAGGGGCAGGGGCTGAGCCTTTGATTTGTAGCCTTCCTCAAGGTGGAAGGAAATTTCCTCATCCCTCTAGGTTCTTCTAGACTGGCAAATGATTGGTAGGAGGAAAGAAAGCAAGAGGCTTCCTAACAACATGTGTACCTTCTGTACACACAGGAGAAACCCAGTAGAAAAAAAGAAAATGGCAGAAATCACACATTACAAGTTCAGCTAGAGACAAAGGTCACCTAGTAGAGCGAGGGGTGCAGGGAGGCACTACAGGAGAGGCAGGACAGACAAGATTGAAGTTGCTGCTGCTCCTTAAGAGTTAAGGGGACCAGGTCATCTAGGCACAGTAAGGGGGCTCCCTTACAAAAGGGGATCTTCTGTTACACATGTGAATGTCTCTTATGAAAGGACAACCTCCACTCAGCCTTCAGAGTGGAGGTGCGGAACTGGTGCAGGCTGGTGCAGAACTGTTCCTATGAAATAATCTTTACGTCAAACAGATGTATTGGAAGAGGGTGACAGGTTTTGTTCCCTTACACCATCAGAACAGAAGTGTTCATTTGGAAGCCAGCCTGCTATGCCAGGCCAGTCGGGGTGTCATTTTAAGCTGTGCATAGTCCTCTGAGGGTCATACTGTCCCGATGGGTGAAACAGATGCTGGGGGTCTCTGGGCCTGGGTGGGCACACGGGCTCTGTCCTGCTCCAAAGCCCTATCCCCTTCCCCTGTGCTGGGAACTGCTGGGAAAAGATGCCCAGACCTGCACTGTGATGGAAGCCAGTGCCAGGGCCCTGGGGCACCATGCGGCAAGAGCCTGACTGGGGAGAGGTCTCAAGTGTGCACTGCCCTCCCCCCTGCAGAAGGTGGGCTGTGATGGGGTGATCGGCTCCAACAAGCAGGAAGACAAGTGTGGCGTGTGTGGAGGGGACAACACCCACTGCAAAGTGGTCAAGGGCACGTTCACACGCTCCCCCAAGAAGCTCGGTGAGTGAGCCCCTTTCCCCCATCTGGGGTCTGCATGTCTGTAGCACTTGGTAGGGCGCCGGTGTGGCCAGGGTGTGAAGGCTTGGGGCTCGGTCTGGGTTCATGACTGTCCTAGGGCAGGTCTAAGTCAGAGCTGGCTTTGTTGCCAACCTGTGAACAGGAAGGTCTGTTCCCTGGTGATTAAAAGCCAGTGACCCAACCACCGGTTTCAGTAAAGCAGAGCAGGATCTTTATTGTGAGGCCTAAAAATGGAGAAGGGGGAACTCATGTTCCCAAGCACCTTCCACCCTGGGCTTGGGATGAGGTGCTTTTAGAAGGCTTTGGGGCAGGGGCGTTTCCAGGTTCCTCATGTTCTGGGCGGGGTGTCGGTCAGGCCTGCGTGGCTCCATTACATGCCTGTACACAGGTCACGTGTCTCAATGTAATGTTAAGTCTCCACCCCTGGACATAATATTTCACATTATAATGAAGCAAAGATCTTTTTTTAGATTACTCCAGTTACTCTTTCCCAGAGAGAGCTAATTTGGATCGTTACCTCTGGTTTCTGTTGTTTCAGCTGTCACCATTCCTTTTCCTGCAAAAGAACGTAGTGGGTACAAATAACAGGTTTCTTACCCTAGGGACTACACAGCTTGAGCCAAGCTTCAGGCTGGTGCAGAACTGAGAATGGTGGTCAGGGCAGAAATTACAGGGATATTGATGGTAATCATCAGGTGGGCCATAACAGTCTTTATTTGAGGGCAGGCGCCTGTGGAAGGCCCCTTTCCCACCTTCCAGGCTTCCCAACTGGCCTGTGGGTCCCTTGCTTCCTCGCCTGTCTACCCCGGCCCCCAGCTGACTGTCAGCAAGACCTGGTCAGGGCAGCCTGCAAGCCTAGGGGCATGGTCGGTCTGTTCCTGCAGGGAGGGTCACAGGAAGAGACTGGGGACCCAGGGTCCTTGACCAAGGTGGGCTCTGCTGAAACAGTCTTCTGAGTGAAATCATTCCAGAGCCATGCCGCGACCTGGCCCTTGGCTCCCCGGGTGGCCTGCAGCCTCCAAATGCACCTGTCTTAAATGAGGAGAAGCCACTTGGGTTTGAGTGTGTAGAAGACCATGGAGCCACTATATCGGCCCTTGCTCAAAACCAGTGCCACCATGCTAGACGCTGACCCTCTGCACAACCCCACAGGGGGTTGTGCACAAGCCTGGGGGACTTGCACTTAACAGATATTTACTGATGGAGTGGCTGAGGTCCAGGGAGACCAAGCAGTGCTGAGGCCTCCCTCCTGGACAAAGCACCTGAGCTTCACGCCCAGCGTAACTCCAGGGCCCTCCACAAGAACCCCCCTCAGTTTGACCCCTCCACTGGTGGAGGCCAAGGGAACAGCTGGGATTTGGAGATGAGCAGAAGGGTCCTAGCCAGCAGAGACTAGGTAGCTTTCCCGTTGGTCCCTCTCTGGGTGGGAGGAGCAAGGCCCCTCCTCTCATTGTATGCACTTCTCACTCCTTCCCTTCTTATTTGATTTTGTCTCCCACCTTCCAATAAAGGTTACATCAAGATGTTTGAGATCCCAGCAGGAGCCAGACACCTGCTCATCCAGGAGACAGACAGCACCAGCCACCACCTGGGTGAGTCGAGGTGCAGACAGCGTGCATCCGCCTGGCCTGGCTCTGGTGGAGACGGCAGAACACCCTGGGGTCAGGGGCTCCCAAACTGCCACCACCTGGCACCCTCACGGACACGTGACCAATTTCTCTCTTCCTTATTTTAAGAGGAAATTTTATATTGCTACAGCAAACCAGTATTGCTGGTCTCACATGGGAGGCAAATGTCAGTCAAGTCCAGGAAAAAGGACACTCTGACCTAGACACAGTTTTCTGCTAAAGGTTCAAGTTCCAGGCCCTGTTTGCACAAGAGGAAGAAGGGTTAGTGGCAAGCTGAGCACCTGCCTCCACCCACCGAGGCCCTCTCACTGATGTGGATGGGAGGCTTATAGGCAGAGAGCGGTTCCCACCCCCGTGGTCCTGTGACTGTCGTGCTCCGTCTGTGCCTCCGCACAAAATCCAGCAGTCCCGAGTGGCCTCGTGTCCCACTGTGAGATGAGTGGACTTCTGGCCAGGCAGGTTCTTGGCTCTTAGACCTTTGTGGATGCACCAGGTCGGGCTAGGCCTCTCTGTGCTGTGTGGAAGACTGGTAGCGCCCCAGGAATGGCCACTGCTACCACTGGGTGGGAAGACTCAGCTTTTCAGCTGGACATATGCTCACCCCATGGCAGGAAGCGCCCACTCACCCTATGCCCCGGTTTTCAGCAGCTACCCCGTACCCCAAGGTTCGTTGACTTTGAGTGTTCCAGGTAGACTACAGAGATGGCCTCTGAGTGGAGCCCCTGTGCCTCCAGGGCCTGTGGGGACACATTCAAGAAGGGCGCCTGGGCCAGACAGAAGGGTACAGGTGGAGGGAAATCTCGTGTCAGGTGGGAAGGAACCCGGTTCCCACCGAGGAGAAATATGCTTCTGGGTGGAGGGAGATTTAGTTCCTGTTGGGCAGCAAAGTCGCTTCGGGCAAAGTGAGATTCGGGCAGAGGGCAGCTGGGAGAGATGAGCAGCTCAGTGCCCCACGCTTTCCCCTCCCCACATCTATCCAAACCGGCTTACGCGTACCTGGGTCTTGCCCTCGCGCATCACGGCAGGGGCCTCCTTTTGCCATTCTTAGCCATCAAGAACCTGGAGACAGGCAAGTTCATCTTACATGAAGAGAATGATGGGGATCCTAATTCCAAATCCTTCATTGCCATGGGTGTGGAGTGGGAGTACCGCAGTGAGGACGACCGGGAGACCCTGCAGACCATGGGCCCCCTCCACGGCACCATCACCGTTCTGGTAAGTGGAGACGGGCCAGACCCCCACTTCTTGACCGTCCGGGTAGGGTCACGCAGTTACTGGGGAAGGGATGGGGACGAGTGCTTGCGAGTCCTGAGCCTCTCTGCGTCCTTCAGGACGTGCCCTGAATGGCCCAGGGCTGCCCTTTCCACCAGGGATCTCCATCCAGAGAGGCGTGAGGAATCGCGGCGGAGCCTCAAGTCAGGGCCTGCCCCCTGCCCGGACCCCTGCCCCCACCTGGGGCAGACTCTTCCCCCTAAGGGGTTTCAACTTCCCTTTCTGAATGATATTCACAGCCACCTTGCATCATGCTCATTTGCATCTGCCATCACATCCAAACCCTGTCACGCTCTGGGAGTCACCAGCGGGGCTCAGGAAGTTAGACCGCCAGACCCAGGTCACACCAGCTTTGTTCCCGAGCAGGACTGGACCCCAGGTATCCTGAGTCCAAGACCACAGTCTACTGATTATGGGAGAAACGGGGGAGGGGAGCGGGGAACCTGATTTTCTTTCTCTTTCCAAAAATTAACTTTAATCGCATAATTAACATTTTACTTGTAAAATATTTAAAACATCACAGACAGGACTTTAGTCCCTTTAGTCCCTCCACCAAGGTGAGCACACTGTCGTTGTCTTAGGCACCTGGATCCAATACCCCATAGCAGGGCACCTGTGGGGCCAGGGTGTTTTATGTGGCACCATGTCACTCTGCTCACCTCCCCTGCAGGGACTCTTTCACCCCCAGAAATGCTGTTGGCACCTTGGCTGTGTCAGCGCATGTTCAGCTGGGCCTCAGTAGCTGCGCTTTCTATCTCGGTGCATCCACCTACTTACTAAAATGTACTTGTGATCTCCGGATCAAATTTGGAGGTGCTTTTGAGGTAATTTGCAGAAAGGTGAGGAATTTGTCACCTAGTGTGCTTGTTCCCAGCTGAGGTAGCACAAGGTGATGGTCTGCTTCTTGCTTTGGCTCTCAAACCATAGAGAAATGTCCTTTTCGGACCTCCCTGGTGGTGCAAGGGGTTAAAGTCTCAGTGTTATCAAGCTATCGCCAGCCACTGCGGCCTGAGTTCGAGCCCCAGCCAAGGAGCTACCCACGTGGGACAGCAGATGTCTCCTGTCTCGCCTGCTGGTCCCCTCAGCAGTGTATTTCAGTAGATCCGCCTGTTCTGCTCCCCGCTCTGTCTCTAGTGAATCCTCTCACCCCCTGCACCTCTGGCCTACACCCAGTTCTTGTATGCATAAATAAATAAAAATAAATTTAAAAAAAATTAACTTAAAAAAAATGTCCCTTTCATAATCTACTTAGTGCCACATTTTTTTTTCATGTTTGTACTTTTTTGCTTTGGATGATTTCACTGTTTTAAATGACCCTTAAGTGCTTTATGGTGCTCCTCAGCCAGGAAGCTGCGATGTGCCCTGCAGAACATTGCCCATGTTTGATGAGCTTCCAGAAAGGATGAGTTACAATTCTGCTAGCCACAAATTCAGTGTTAATGAGTCAGCAATATATACTAGTACATACTGAAGCAGAAACACATGGAAAATAGAGCCATGTGTTGGTGGTTGATGAAAATGTTGTGACCATTGTTCCTAACCTGTGTTCCCTTGTGAGCAGTGGCTCCCTATTGGCAAATTAAATGTCCTCGGGGACTTTCCAGAATAGGTATTCTGTACATAATGAGAATTTGGCTGTAAGTGTACCTCATGCTGATGTTTCTAAACTGGCTGCTGAGGAAGGAGGAGAGTTGGGCAAACACATTCACAGCCATCTGGGGGTGCAGGTCATCCCACAGGGAAGTGCCCGGATCTCGCTGACATACAAATACATGATCCACGAGGACTCACTCAATGTGGATGACAACAATGTCCTGGATGACAACTCTGCAGGCTACGAGTGGGCCCTGAAGAAGTGGTCCCCCTGCTCCAAGCCCTGCGGCGGAGGTGAGTTGAGACCCTCGGGCCGGGCCATGCTGGCTTCATGTGCTTTTCCTGGACATGCCGTACTCCATGCCTGCGGCTGTTTCCCCAGCCTAGGAGCCCCCTCTACCACCTTCCCACTAAACTACACTCCTCCCTGCATCCTCTGCCCCCGGAAATTCCCACAGATGCCAGGCCAGGTCAGGCTGCCAGGGTGCATTCTCTTACGTGCTCACTGGGCTGAGATTTTACATCCTTGGCAACACTGACATTTGAGACTTGTAATTCTCTCTCGTGTGACTATCTGTGTACTGTAGACATTAAGCAGCATCGTGGCCTCTACCCGGTAGATGCCACTGGTACTCCTTCCCCTGTTGTGACAACTAAAAGTGTCCCTTTAATTGCCAAGCGCCTGTTGGGAGTGACATCACCCTGAGTTGACAGCTGCCACACCAAACAATTCCCAGTGGTGGGAGGAACCTTGCAGGCTGTGTTCCCTAGAATGTAGCCAACTTCTGCCTAAGTCCAGGTCCTCTGTGTATATTAATTCAAGGTGGAGTACCTGACAAGACAGTAGGAGAGGAAATAGAACCTTTTGCCCTGCCCCCCAGGAAACCAGCCAGAGGACCAGGGGAGAAGGTGGGCTCTCTCCCTGCCCTCATGCTCACACAGCCCAGGTTGCTGGGCGGATACCAAGCCAGTCATCTCCAAGGCTTGACTGGGGTACCCTGCCTAGCCCCCCATCAGAGGGTGAGGAGAGTGGGGTTGAGGCTGCCAGGAGGGAGACCACTTCTTCATGCCTCTAGAGGGACCACACCACCCCATTAAGCCCCTTGAGCTCTCTCATCTTCAGGGTCCCAGTTCACCAAGTATGGCTGCCGCCGGAGGCTGGACCACAAGATGGTGCACCGTGGCTTCTGTGACACGCTCACGAAACCCAAAGCCATCCGACGGACATGCAACCTGCAGGAGTGTTCCCAGCCTGTGTGAGTGCCTGGGGTGCTCAGCCCCCAGCCCATGTCCAATAGAGGAGAAGGCCCCTAGGGTTCCTGGGCAGGGTGGTGGGGACCTGGGCCTCAAATCCCCCAAGGGGTTTGATTTTTTTTTCCTTACTTACCACATTTCATGGAGCCTAAGATGCCATAGACTATAAGGTGCACCCCTCCTTCAGACCTACAAGATGTGCATCTTAGAAATGACAGCAATTGTCATACTGAGATGGTGAAATGTCAGTTCAGGAGGGAACAAGACATGCTTCTAGTCTTACAGCAGATGCTTCCAAGCGGTTCATTACAGCAGCTATGGCCTTGATCCCCTGGCTCTGAGTGGGCAGGACTGCTTTTCTGGTTCCTGGGTGAATAAGCAGGTGGGCTGTGTGGGGACAGGTGCTGAGGGAGGGAGTCCACGCTACTGCTGTGCTCTGCCCGGGACTTCAGTGCCAGCAGATGCTGAGGGCAGAGAGCACAGCCAGGAGACTGGGAAGGGAGTGAGGCCAGCAAAGCCCCTCAGCCTGGGTCCTCAGTGGCCACTCCCAGCAGGGTCTCTAGGAGGTGGGCACGCTGGGTTCATCATCTGTGAGCCCTGGGGCAGGTAGATAGGGAGCCCACAGGCTCCTCCTGAGCATAAGAACACATGTGCCTGGGGCTCAGGCTGCCTTCTGTCAAGCTGAGCCCGGCCAGGCTGGTTTTCCAGGGCCTACCGGGAGACTAATTGCACGTTACTCTTCCCTGGCAGTTGGGTCACGGGCGAATGGGAGCCATGCAGTCAGAGCTGCGGGCGGACAGGCATGCAGGCACGCTCTGTGCAGTGCATTCAGCCCCTGCACAACAACATCACGCGCTCAGTGCACACAAAGCACTGCAATGATGCCAGGCCTGAGGGCCGACGGGCCTGCAACCGTGAGCTCTGCCCTGGTCGGTGGCAGGCTGGGCCCTGGTCCCAGGTAAGCCGCTCGCTTGTCCCGGTGGCCTCAGCCCTTGGACTGAGTTTGGGTGGGACTGGGTGGCTGGGGTGTTCCTCCTTGGATGCAGCTCTTGCTCTGGGCCACATCTTGTAGGTACCAGTAGGTGCCACGTGGTGAGTGTTCTTTTAGGAGACCCAGTGGAATATGTGTCTTTATTCCATAGGCAGACACTCCTGTGTCTACAGGGACCTAGAATTCCAAAAGAGGGCAGCCTGGATTCTGGGATCAGGGGGGAGGCCTGTAGTCTCATCTCAGAAGGTGGAGGTTCTGTCTAGTAGCTGGCCAAACTTGCAGGAGGGTACAGGAACAAGGAAGGCCTACTTTGGCTGAAGAGGAAAGGAATGCTGTCTCGGGTTATTGGAGAAGGTTGGGCGGAACTGACATGAGCACTGACATCCTGTTTGCAGGCCTGGTGGGTCAGGCGTCTCTCAGACACGTGGACTCAATGATTTGATAGAACTCGTTGATCCCAGAGGTGGTTATACTTGTGGTCACAGTGTATTACAATGAAAGTACACAAGGTAGAATGGGTAAAGGGAAGAGACACATGGGTGAAGCACAGGCTTCCAGGGGTACACTTCATTCTCCTAGCAGTGACGTGTGACCGGGGAAGCCCACCCCAGCCCGGATTCCCAGTCACACATGCCTGAGGTGCCTGTGTGTAACATTGGTTACTGACACTCCAGGCCCCAAGGGGAATGCAGGTGCTTCCCATAAATCATATTGTTGTTCTAAACTTACTGAACAAACTGGTACAGTGTGACTTAACTCCTACCAGGCAGAACTTTCTGTGAAGTTGGTTCCCGGGAGCTATCCAGGCGTCAGTGCTGAATACAGGCTTTTCTTGGAAACTGTAGGGTTTGCGTAATGCCCTACAGTTGCCGCAGTGCACTCACCGTACACAAGGCAAGGATGTGATGATTGTCCTTGGGCAGCACTGGCCCAAGTGGGGAGCCCAGAAGGAGTCCGGCCCCTCCTCAGGTGGTGAGGTAGAGAGGCATGCCAGAGCTAGAGGAGCCGGCAGGGGGTGCCTCTGGCAAAGACCCCGGGACTCTGCCAGAGTGTCCCCAGTGGCCCCCAGTGCACAGCAGCCCTTCCTGGGTCTGAGGCCTCCTCTGGAGAGTGGCTCTTCTTGAGGAGCGCGGAGTGCCAGACCCCATGTCTGCCCATTCATTCTAAGTCACAATACAGAGAAATAGAAACATGCATCCCTTCTTCAGAGTCCCAGGAGATTGAGGTGGCTCTCCCAGGCTGGGAGAAGGCAGGGCAACCTCTAACCCACACTCTTCCCTGCCCCTGCCCTTACCACCTCCCTCTTTATGGGGTCACATGCCTGGGAACATGAGCTCTTCCAAGCCCAGCCTGGCATGGGAGGTGGACCCTGGCTGGTAACTCTTGCCCACAGTGCTCGGTGACCTGTGGAAATGGCACCCAGGAGCGGCCAGTGCTCTGCCGTACCTCTGATGACAACTTCGGACTGTGTCGGGAGGAGCGACCTGAGACAGCAAGGATCTGCAGGCTTGGTCCCTGTTCCCGTAAGCCTTTTGTTGCCCCTGGCCCATAGCATGCAGCAGGCCTAGCATGAGAGGTGTTGACCAGGCAAAAGCAGCTCTTCCCTCCACTGGCCAAACTCAGCATATGTGACTGAAGCAGCAGCTGCGCCCTTATGGCCAGGACTGGCCCCTTCCCTAGTGGGAAGCGGAGGGCACTCACATCTACCATGCTCACCTCCCAGCCAGGTCCCAGTGACGTGTGGACTCAGACTTTGTCATCTTAGCACTCCCAAGGAGACAGACATCAGATTCAATGACCGCATGAGGCAGCTCAGCCAGACAGGGGTGCCTAGCACGGGGGATGCCCACTTAAGCGGAGGGTCGCAGTGCTCTGTACTGAGAGGAACCAACAACAGACGTGTGTAGACATACTGCTGTACATATGTTCCCTTGCTGGGTCACCCAGGCAGCTAAAGGTGTAAATCCTGCCTTGAGTCCAGTCCATAGAAGGGGTGCTGTGCCACCCCAGCCAGGGAGGTAGATCCAGGGTTCACTGCTCCCTGCATTCCTGGAGTGGGCAGTGGGGTACCACTCAGCTGGGGGAGGGGTGGGAGGGGCCACCTAGGAGCTGTGCAGCGAGAAGGTGGTGGGCAGGGCATGTGTGAAAATAGTGGTTGTGGCTGCTCTGTGTAGCTGCTCCCCAAGGGTGGATGGGTAGGTGGGCCGGGGGGACTCGGAGCTCCTCTGTCCTGAGAGTGGGCCTCGAATGTTGCACTGGGGGTCGGGCCCTCCTCTTGCACTTCTCATGAGCCATGGAGCCCTTCTGCTGGAGTGGGAGGCAGGAAAACCCGACCTGGTGTCCCAGCAGCTGAAGCCCCTTTCTCTTGCCTCTAGGAAATGTCTCTGATCCCTCCAAGAAGAACTACATTGTTCAGTGGCTCTCCCGCCCAGACCCTGACTCGCCAGTGCAGAAGACCTCGTCAAGTAACCGGCCCGTTTATAACTCTGCCTCTGCCTCTGCCCTGCAGTGCATGCCCTGCGCCTTGTGGAGCTTGCCGTGGGCTCCTCTCCTCTCTTTCTATGGAAAACTCCCTTGACTCTTCCTGAGTGCTCTCTCAGTTGAATCTGTTTTCTCTCAGGCCTCTGTGCTCGGCCATCTCCTTGAGAATCACCTGGCCACCTGATGGGAGGGCCAGTCTCGCAGAGACAAGGCCTCGGGGTCACTGGCCTCTTGTGGGCGGCCAGGACCTGATGGTGATGGCTTGTGAAGGGGCAAAGATCTGTTGTGGTGCCGGAGCGGCCAGAGGCCAAAGTGCCAAGGTGTCCACTTGGTGATAGTCCTCCAGGCTGAAGCTGCAGTTCAGATACTGAGGGGGAAGCCCACCTGTCCCCTTTCAAACGCTGCCCACCAACAGGTGAAGGGACTCTTGGGGTGTGCAATTTTGTGCCACCGCGCTAGACGGCCCAGCGCTGAGTTCTTGGGTGGTGCATTGGGGCTTCCTGGCCACCTCCGCTGCTGCTGCTGACCCCTGCTGGGGATGTCCTCTTGACTCATGAGCCTGTGGCCTGCTTTCTGTGGCCTTCGTGTCCGATTTACACAGTTCCTTGGTCCCATGCCCTGTCCCCGGGGGGCTTTAACAGAGGAGGGTTGTGTCCCTCCAGTGGGACATCGGGACATCATCGCTTCCATTCTCTGACCATTAGCTCCAATGGCCTTTTCTTATCATGTGCACATGCACCCCTAGAGGGGGAGGAGATAGACAGAGAGAGAGAGAGAGAGAGAGAGAGAGAGTGGACTTGGCAGCCTGCCAGTGTGATCAACTACAGAATTACCTCAATTTTTATTGTTTTTTTGTTTAGAAAAACTATGTAGAAAATGCCTTAAAGTTGAAAGGTAACAGAACGGGCTGCTAACCCCAGCTTCTGAGGGAACGCGACCCAGGTAGGAGGCAGACAGCGTAGGTTTAGTGGGAGGTTGCCCGTTCATCCACCGCTGGCCAAGGCTGAGACTTCCCCATTCAGATGCCTGGCCCCCCACACCTGTGGTCTGCGCTGGGACCTAGGTGTGTTCGCTCCATCCTCCTCTGCCGAAAGGAGACCCGCTTTCATGCCCACGGCCGGTCGGCGCCGACTGTTGGAGGCCCCGTGATGCGCCCGCAGCGCTGCCTTACGCTGCAGGCCAACATGCCCGGCCTTGTGCCCAGTGTAGCTCTCCCACCTGCCACTCCACAGCCCTGTCCTGCCCTCCACTCCCTGTTAATAGTGTCCCTGCTGGACCTCGTGCCAACTCCCCTTCCCTGGCACTAAATACTGTTATGTAAATACTCAGTGTGTAACACATACTAATTCTCACGACTGTTAACTTCCAACTTTGACTAGGCGATGTGAGTGACAGCTGACTCTGGGAAGGTGCAATACAGCCCTGGGCATTGTGCTCTCTGTCTATATGCACTTTGGTTTATCAGGGATATTTTATTAGTGTTTTGTATGTACTTAACGATGTATTGTATAGGTTCCATTGTTGTCGCTTCCTCGTTTTTTTTTTTTTTATGAGAAACTTGGTGTGTGCCAAAGTGACTGTGAAAATGACCTTTTATTCTTACTAACGATGGAAACACTTCCTGTCATGCATCCCACAAATAAACTCAATAAAAGTTGCAAAAAACTGGGTGCTTGGGTTTGGCAGGCTGCTGGCTCTTTCTCTCAACCTCTGTGGCCAACCATGCTGTAAAGCTGGGGTGTGCGGGGAGGCGGGTGCTGTAGCACTACTTACTTGGTTTCTGATTTACAAGACTTCACGGCTCCCAGTCCCCATGCCCAATGTAGATTTAGCTTCCCTCCCACAAAGTGACACCATCTCCCTGCTCCCCAGGCAGTTTTCAAAGTGGGACAGCAGCCCGGGCAGATGCTCCACTGTGATTTCTTGCATTAACTCATTAGCACCCGCACCTTACAAGAAGGTACCGGAGTCCTCTCCTTGCAGATGGCGCTCTCACAGTCAGGAAAAGATGAGCTTGTCCCTGATCTTCAGGATCAGAGCCTGTAGAGTGGGAATGTGGGGCCCATAGCCAGGACAGTAGTGGTCCAAGTTACCATGCCCTGAGCTCCTGGCATAGCTCTCAGCCTTGGGGCCCCTGTGAGGGAGGAGAGATGCCCATTTAGCCAGGCGGCAGCCGGGCCAGCCCTATGAGAGTCTGGGTCAGGAGAGGAGAAAGGTCACAGTGGGTCTGGGGCATGTGCAAGGTTCACGCTCACGCCTGCATGTCTCCCATGCATGTCTCCCGCCCTCAGAAGCCACAGGGCTTGTGCTCACTTACCTTGCTCACAAGGACCAGACTGCGGGTCAGGTTCCAACATGGACCCCCTGATCTGGAGCCTGTGTTATGTTCAGCTGGTGAGAATCTCTTTCTACCCTTTCCCATGCCTTGAGAAGGAGTTCTGTGCCAGGAAGGAGGGAGATCATGCAAAAGAATAGCATGGGGTGCCCCAGCATGAGAGACAGCTCAGGGAACAGGGCCAGCCCTAGGTGCCAGCCTCTGTGGAGGAAGAGTTCCGGGAGCCGGGGCTCACTTCAGCCTCTCACAGTGGCAGCCACGGGAAGGAATCCCAACCCAGGAGAAACAAAAAATCCAAGACAACTGTGGTCTGACAGAACTGCAGCCACTATCTCCCTTCGCAGACAGATCAGGAGAAACCCTGCCACCCAAGGGGCCCCGACCAGAGCTGTATGCAGCCCAGGGCAGGGGATAGCCAGGGTGCATGGAGGGTGCAGGCAGACGAGGGGTGCTAACCACTCTTTTAACTTGTCGCGTGACCTCTGGTTGGTGGCATGGGTGCATACGGCTTGATTGAGGAGAGAAGAGAATGAAGTATCGGCATCCCAGTCTTTTCAGCAGTGATTTAGGTGGTGCGTAAATGTGGCCGAAGTTTCCACCATGTTGAGAGTTTCGAACGTGCAGATGAGGACCTGCTGAAGGAGCTGGCACAAGCCACCCACCCGCGGGCGGGGGGGGGGGGGAGGGGGGGAGAAAGGGGCAGGCAGCCCTCCACCCTAGGGCAGCAGGAGATGAGGAGCAGGATCAAGTTCCTCTGGATGGCACAGAGGTCACTGACCTCACAGGCTCAACTCTAAGCGGTTGCATTAACTGGTACCCTGGAAAAAGTGAAGAAGGTGGTGAGGTCCTAAGTTTGGGCCCTTATCTAAATATCTAGACTGTGTGTGAGCAGGTTGTCAGACTATAAAATGTCTAGGCAGCAACTTAGAAAAACCAGAGTTGTTTTTCCCATCATAGTCTTTTACTGATTCCTTTATCCTTTGTGACATTAGGGAGAAGTGTCACTTGACACTCGTTTTTGGTACATTTCTCTCTTGCTCAGAGCTTCGCAGGCAAAAGTGTATTTGCTAACTTAAAATTGGACTTAAGAGGACTTAAAATTTTTCTTTGTATTCATTTATTCTAGGGACACCTTTATGACTGTACTAGTTTGCCAGGAATGGTGGTAGTATAAAGCTTTCTTTTAAAATAAATTTTAAGTTATAAAAAGGAGTTAATTTAAGGAGGAAAGTACAAAGGAAATTGTAACACAGGTGGTGCTGAGACAGAGCCAGGCTGTGGGAGTAGCACACAAATGAATTCATGTATGAAAAATATACAACGTTTGCTGTTCACTAGAAGGCAAAAGGTCTTGCTACTTCATTGCTGCTGGGAAATGACTGAAGATCAAGTTTCATAAAACGGAAATTATCTTGGTAGAGCTCCTTTGCCAGTCAGTATCTCAGTGCACATGGTCAGCCCTTTGGTGGTATAATTTGCATCTCATGCAGCTCAGAGGGCTCTCTGGGAGTGATACACACACTGCAGACCCGAGAAGCCTTCCCTGGCCACCCCTCCTCCCTCTCATCGCCACCGCCAGTCGACCCTATCGCTCACCCGTAGCCATGGGGCCCTGTGCGTGGAAGGGGCTCAACCAGACAGACAAGGGGGAGGCGCCTCTTAGAGCCCACCCAGCTGAAAACCAAGGCCCCTGCCCCCAGCACAGAGGATGAACCATGGGTGAGAGACAACCACGCAGCTTTGTCATCTTTCCTATCCAATTCCGTGGGATTTGGACCCGAGAGGAGGAGGATCTGCCCGAGGACAGTCAGCACGGGAACTCTGAAGCCTGACGTGAGAGATTTCATGGCACAAGTTCTGTCTTCTTTGCAGCCAGGGATGGCACAGGAAGTTAAAACTTGGTGGACGGCGCCCGGCATGACGAGGAGGCTGCCGCTTCTGGACAGCGCCTTGTGGACTTCGCAGCGGTGTAAGGAACCATTTTTTCTGCTTCTTTGGCATTGATCTTCTGGGTCGAGAAATGAGGATTGATGCCTGGTTTCGCATTTTCCAGCGACCTTGTTAGCAGAGATGAGTGTTTACACTGACTTGGCCTGCCTTGTGTTCAAACATCTGCACAAACCTTCTGAGCAGAGAGTGAAAGAAGTAACTCCAGACACAGAGGACAGAGCAGGAGTTTCTCACAAAGGCCCTGTGGTGACGTGAATTGTACTTTCTTGAGCAGTATATTGAATTCATGGCTGACAGACTTATGCTGGAGCTGGGTTTTAGCAAGGTTTTCAGAGCAGAAAGTCCACTTGACTTTATGGAAAATCCTTCAGTGGAAGGGAAGAAAATGGGCAAGTATCAGAGGACGGGAGCGATGTCAAGTTCAACAGAGAATTCTTTGACCCTGGATGTCAACTTCTAAATGAACTGCAGATGTGCTCTTATTTTGATATTTTTTCCTTATTAAAAAAAACCCCAGCCAATCAAAGTATCTGAACGAGGCACACCACTAAGTCTGTGAACCAGCTAATGTCCACTAGTGGCATATGTAGGTCTGCATAGCTGCCTCGGTCAACCCTGTTTCTTACTACTGCTAGTGGTGTCCCCTAGAATGAAAGCAGAGACAAAAGCCACTGGATTCTCTCAAAGACACTAGTCTGTGTTTGGCTTTTGCAAGGCTGGCTGGCTGTACATGACTTCACCCTGACCTCTAACAGCTGCTATCATGGCTTCAAAGTGTGGGGCTTCAAGTAAGTGAGACACAGAGAACCATCCATTCAGTTACCAACCTAAGACCATCACAGATGCCAGTCTTACGCTTCAGAGTGGCCTTTAAGTTTATTAATTGGTTTGTACATAAAACTGCACTTCACACACAATTTCTGCTGTCAAAGTAAAATCCTGATATAACTTGGTTGGTTTCTACCTCAAATATAAAGTGTTCTATTTACCACTAGAGAGAGCCAATTCAAAATTTACTAGGTGAACAAAATAAGCCTGTGTAAACTCAAGATGTTAATTTGTACTTTTTTTATTTAATGAAATGTGTTCTAATCACCTTCCCAACCAGTCCTGTGCACACGTCTGTGGTAGCCAGTCTGCACGTACCACATGAAAGGCAGCTGTGTCTAGTGCTGGGTAGAATACTGTGGGGCAAGAGCTACAGGAGAGAGTAGCTGCTGATCCTACGTCATTTGAGAATTAAAAGGGACTAACAGCATGTGACATGGGTTTCTGGCAGGGGCAACAGCATTTTATTTCTCAAACTGTATTTTCCCAACTTCCTGTCAATATGCAAGACCCTTAAAGACTCTTCTTAGGTAGACTCTAAGATCAGATAGTGCTGTTCACTGATTTTCAAGTCACCTAAGATCTTGATCCTATTAAGTGATAAAAGCAGGCCTGAAACTGGCTTTCCTAAAAGTCGAGTGTTTATTCTTATTTGTTCAATTTGTGTGTAGTTAAATACTGTTCACTGATTAATCCATTTATATGTACTACTTTTAAATTTACAAATTTTCTTTTACTACTTAAGGTTAGCAAAGTCTTTTTACTATGTCCTTGATCATACTTTGAAATGTTACCTATCCTTATCATGCAGTTCATAACTGATTAGGTATTGTTTGGTGCAGTTACTTCTAGCATTCATCTAAATCTGATAGCACCTGGTGGATTATGAACCTTGGCATGAAACTAGTGGGCAGAAAACAGTATGAACTCAGTAGGGCTAGTTTGATTGATCTGCCTACTCTGTGTTCTGGGCCAAAAAGCCACATCGTGCCCTGAGGAGCCCGCGTGGCATGTTTGGTCAGCACCTGCTATGTGTTGGCGACACTGGTCTGTTGTCAGTTTTCTTTATCATTTGTTATATAAATGGTCAATGTTTAAACTTCTGTGATATGGGCCTTTTTGTATGTCTTAAATTATTGTTAACCTGATGTTAACCCAGCCTCTGTGGCCCGACACCCGTGTAGCAGAAGCTGTGTAGACACAGGCCTGGCTGGCACTGCTGGTGGAGGCTGGGTGCAAACTGTCACTCCTGCCTCCTGTTAGCCTGTCTCTGTAAGACTTCACTTCTGTTCACTCACATTTTGCTTCCTAATCTGTTTAAAAGAAAACAAGTTTTAGTCTAAAACATTTCAAGGTTTCTCAGGATTGAATATACACAAGTGTTAAATGATAAAAACAAGACTTCTTAGTTCAACTCAGGCACAACCATTGGTGTCCTTTGAAGAGTGTTTGGAAGTGGTTATTTTGATATTTTTCTAGGCTGATACTAGCATAGCCAAGTTCTTGTCCAGTGGCTTTCTCAATTGATATTCACTCATTGATTTATTTTAATATTTAAGAACATAGAGCATGGCAGCCCAATGTCCAAAGGAAATCAGACAGAGACATCCACTATGTAGGCCAGGCAGAAGGAAGCCACCCTGGAAAGGCAGTCCAGCCCTCAGGAGAAATCACCTGCCTGCCCCTGGCATGAGACCAAGCACTCACCCCATCTGTCCTTTTACTCAGTGATATTTGCCAAGCATCAGGCTCTTGTCTGGGCACTGGCGATGCAGCTAAGGACCTGACAGTCATCAAACCTTTCCTTTAAAGGACCAGAGAGTAAATATTTTAGGGATAGAAAGAAATGAATGTGCTAGAAGGATAAGTCTGTGTGAAGGGATCAAGTTGTAAAGTTAGGAAAAAGCCAGAAGTTCATCGTGGCCAGCCCATGGCATGGCAAGAACAGCGCCAGATTATGAGGCTGTGGGGTATGTTGAGGCAAGTGGCAGAGAGACCAGATGAGTACGAGTAAGATGGCAGCAAGTAGAGGGGTATGAGAGAATAGGGTTTGCTCTGATGGGTTTTAGGAATTATTTCTTTTAAGTTTAAGTTTGTTACTGTTTATAGATTATTGTAAAGTCAAACTGCCACAAAAGCTCATTGGGGTTGCCACTGGATATCAAATGTGAAAATCAGACAAAGTCCCAGAACAGGTAGTCTTCATTTCTCTCCCAAAGATTGAGAGCCACTGAAAAAAAATCTGGACTCAGCGGGGGGCTGCTTGGAGGAGGGGCATGTTGCTTCCGCAGGGTCCCCACCAGGCCCCATTCCAGAATAGCTCCGACTGTGAAATCAGGCTTTCTACGTGAGCTCGCTTGCCTCTGTGCTGTCCCTGGGCTCTTTCAAAAGCTTCTTCCAGCAAACTGCACCCTTTCAGGGGAACAATGTCCCTCTTATCTTGTTCTTTGGTTATTTGTCCCACTTTTCTCTTTCAGAGGGCCGCTGTCAAGGTGACAAGTCAATGTTCTGCAGGATGGAAGTCTTGTCTCGCTATTGCTCCATCCCAGGCTACAATAAGCTGTGCTGCAAGTCCTGTAACCTGCACAACCTCACCCATGTGGATGACAGGGCGGAGGCGCCACCTGGGAAGCACAATGACATTGAGGAGCTCACGCCCACCCACCCAGTGCCCACACTAGTCATGGAGGCACCCCCTACCCCAGGCACACCCCTGGTGGTTCCTCTCAATGCCTCCAGCACCAATGCCACTGAGGATCACCCAGAAACCAATGCTGTTGATGTTCCCTACAAAATCCATGGCCTGGACAATGAAGTCCAGCCACCCAACTTAATCCCTCGACGACCGAGCCCATATGAAAAGACCAGAAATCAAAGGATACAAGAGCTCATTGATGAGATGAGGAAGAAAGAGATGCTCGGAAAGTTCTAATAAAATGGAAAGATAGCATTAATAGCACTTTTTTTCTTGCTTATAGAGATTTCATAGGAGAGCAAATCCTATGTTCTGGAGGTGAAGTCAAATTTTCTGATTCTAAGAGGTTTTCGAAAAACAAAGAGGGAGAATGATACACATATATAGCTATGTGCGTGTGGCAACTAGGTTAGCACATGTGTTTCCCAGCCCCAGAGTTTTCTAAATCCTGTACTAGGGTGAGCATGGGAAAATACAGGAGCTCTGCAATCTCTCTACGATGTGGGGTGGAGAGCAGAAGTAAGTCAGAGGGAAAGCACTGGCCCTGAGTGTCTGGGCAGTGCCTAGGAATCTTCCTTTCCTTGGTGGTGACTACTCTCTGGGGATATAGGCCATTTCCCGCCAGTCTCTAGACTGAGGCACAATCCCTAAGGGGAAGGTCTTAAGGTAAATGGTGGTTTATTCACTAAACCACTACAATGAGCACAATCCAGTGAGGGTTGCGAATGCAAATTCCTTCCAGAACCAGGTTGGAGGAGAGGATGAGTGTGGGGAAGCAGGGGAGAGTACCAACCTGAGAACCACACTCAAGTAGCACTGACTGTCAGCTCTGGCCACTGCTGCCACGCGACCGCTCGTGCCAGAGTGTGCTCTTTCAGAAGAAATCTAATTTTCACGTAAAAATCTTTAAAGGCCAACTTAAAATATTTTAAGGGGGCCTGTGTGTGAGTCTGTTCGGCTCTAAAGTCTGGTTTCTAGTTTTGAGAATTAAGGACTTGAGTAACCATCTGACCCATTTGGTGCTCCTGGGCAGTATCTGCATATGTCAGCTGAGTTGGAGCTGTGAAACAGTCCATTTCTTCCTTAGAAAGTACCCAAGTTACTGTAACCAGGACATTTTCTTACTGAGAAGATAGTGGAGGGCTCCAGTAATCCTGGTCTGTTTGCCAACTCTGGCCACCTGGCCTCAACACCAGCGGCCCCAGAGAGGTGCTTTCCCTCCCCAAGTGCATCAGAAGGACAAGGGAGGCATTCACATTGCTGGAAAGTGCAGTGGGAGGTCAAGGCCTTGAACTCCCACAGATGGGGAATGTTACGATCAGGGTACCATGCCCACGCGCCTTGAGGTCTTGGACTTTGTGGACTTGGGTCTGACCCTGAAGACCAGATTTTCTTGCAAAGGATGGATGGCCTTTCCCTGTCCAGCCCTCTACCCCTTAGAAGTGAGCTGCCCCACAGGACCATTCTTAGACACGGGATGGGAGGTGTGAGAGCTTGCTTTATCTTTCACACTCTACAAACTTTAACAACTTCTGGCTTTGGCAAAATGGTGCCAAGTTGTGAGCAAGATGTGACTGAGAAATGAAAGGAAGGGCATAGGGGTGGATGGGAGGATGGTGGCTAATTTTCACTTCTCCCTGTGTTGATATTTTGTGAACATGTAGCTTAAACTTCTCCAAAGTACAACACTCAGGGGCACATTAGTCCTTCAGCTGGACTTCGGCAGACACATAATTCTGAAATTTTTCACGTCCAGGGAGGTTCAGATATCTTTGCCAGCCATAAATCTTAAAGAACTCTTTCTTTCTTAATTCCCCAATATATGGATGAGAACACTGAGGCTCAGAATAATACCATGATGGCTAATTTATGTTGAATTTAAGGTGCAAAGTATGCTTGTCTGAATCTGTGCATGTGTATGGGTGTCAGTGTGTGTGGTGTAGGAAACAGTGAGAAATATCTGGGATGATGCTTAATTTTTCAGCTGGGTGATAAGTAGCCTCCCTTCTGCCCTATGCACCCTGCCCCTTCCTTCTGCTAACTCATCCCACACGTGCTCATTGACTGTCCCTGTGTCTCAAAGGAGCTTGCTGGATCCTAAGACTCAAACTGGAGAAAGCATTTTGTAATACGTCTCATCATATTACTCTAATAAGATGTGGTCTGAAGCACTGTGGCAGTGCTATTGCTCTACAATCAGGAAATGGATCTCGGGGCTTTCCTGAATTTGAACCTGTAGCAGCTGGTGCTATGCATGAGGTGAAGGCAGTTCTTGCTTGGATCTGCCCTACAATGTGGAGAAAGTTCAGGGTTGACCCAAGCCAGAGCTTATTACTTATTACTCAGTGGGGACCTCTGATTTCAGCAAAGCAAGGCTACATGTCTTGGGTCTGGAGGCCTTCAGAGTGAGGCCCCAAATGGGACATTCCTAGGGGCACCTACCTTCTGCTTAAGGAAGAATGATGTCCTTTGGGAACTGTAGGCCAGCATGGCCATGGCCCCAGAAGCATACTAAGTGCTTTGGGCTGTATATCCAGAGTTCTCTAGAACAACAGTTCTCAGAAGCCTCTTAGTGTAAAGAATGGTGCAACTGTCCACTGAGCATGGGGCCTTCAGGACAGATGCCTTAGCCACAGTACTGAGCTTCCAGAACCAGGGTCTATTGCCCAAGGGGCTCCTGCAGGCTAGGAGACACAGAAAGTGTCTTCTAACTTGTTTATAACACCGTGTTGAGACTCAGAGGTCCCCTCTGTCCCTGGCTCTAAGAAATTCAGCTGAGGTATCTGAGAGGCACCTCATGCTCATGGGGAGACTCATCTGAAATAGTAAGACCTGGTTCTCTGCTCCTTTTGGAAAAGCCCATGAATTTCATGTATAAGCCTTTCATTTGTATTTTAAGGTTTTTGTTTGAGTATTAAATGGTGCACAATAGTGAAGTCTTTATCAGACGAAGCTTTATGCCATGCAGATGTACTCCTGTGTGGCAGGCGGCTACCATATGAATCATCATGGTGCTGAGCTCACATCACAATATTTTATCCTACTGATCACAGCAATCAATACATTTGCTTTCTGTATAGTAAAATATGACTCCTTGATTTTATAACTTATTAAAAATAAAAATGTCTGTGTTTTTGCACATAATGCCTGTGCTTGATTGTTACCTTAATGCCACGTGTCCCCACTACCAACCTGAACTTGGACAGAAGAGAAAGATGTGCTACCCTTGGAAGGCCAGGAGGTGGGGGAGGCCACTGAGCCTCAAGTCAGGACCTTGTAAAGGGTGAGTAACACCTGGAAGGGCTGTTCCCTCTCCCAGCTCCCCATGGAGCTGGCTCTCTAGGTGACATGACTTAGCCAATGGTTTCCAGGTAAACCTTTCAGTTCAGGAAGGACATGAATAACCTCCAGACACCTCTGTTCACAACTCCTTCTCTCCTATAATTAGGGGTTCCAGAAAAAAATAATAGATGCTGAGTTAAATTTAAATTTCAGAGAATTAAATAATTTCAAGATAATATGGAACATACTTATACTACAAATATTGTTTCTCTAAAATTCGAATTTAACCAAGTCCTGTATTTTTATTTGCTAAATTTGGTAACTCTACCTATTATCAGTATCCGACTTTATTATTTTTTTTTTAAAGATTTTTATTTATTTATTTATACAAGCACTGGGTACAGTCAGAAGCGCAGGAGGGTGAGAGAATTCACCAGAGCCAGAGCAGGGAACAGAACAGGCAGACTGATGAAATACACTGCTGAGGGGAGCAGCGGGCATAGCAGGAGAGGTGTGTCACTCCATGTGGGACCCTTGCCAGTGACTGGGGATTGAACCAGTACTGCAGCACAGGGTATATAGAGGCTTACTCTCTTGATAGAAGGGGAAATCTTGTAGGGGACCTGGGATGTTCCACACAGACTGGGTCCCTGGTAAAGAGAGTAACAGAGTAGGCATTTGGATCTGCACTACTCCTTTCCTGGGAAATGACTTAGTTTGTGAAGCACACTGAAAGCACAGAAACTGCCAAGTGCCTCATCCCAAACCCCAGAGAGAAGCGATATCAGGGTGCTACAAACATGAGCCAGCCCCAACATAACTGATCCTCACCAACATCTGACTCCCTCCAAGCCTCCTCCCACCCTGCAGAGTCAGCAACCACAAAACAAATCTGAATACATACAGTCACTAACAAAGGCTAAAATAAATAAAATATTGAAATAATAATAAATAGGGAGTCCTCCAGGAGTAAAATGGGCAAAAACATATAACACATGGAAATATGGTACTCAAGAGAGTATGCCATCACAAGGTGAGAACAATTCTCCAGAATCCAACACAAAAGGTGGTAGATTAGTTCTCCCTATCAGAGAATTCAGAACTGCTGTAATAAAGAAATTCAAAGTGATAGAAGAAAATCCAGAAAGACAAGTCAAAGTAATACAAGAGAATTCAGAAAGGCAAGTCAAAAAGTACAAAGGAACTCAGAAAAGTTAATCAAATACATAACAATTCAAAGAAACAAAATATATTAATGAATTCAGACACAAAATTAATGAAGAAAAGATATATAAAACTTTAGATAAGAAAATAACAGAAATTTAGGAGGTAAAGACCTCAATAAATCAGATCAAGACTTCTAGAGAGTTATGGAAGTAGAATAGATTAAGTGGAGAAATTAATCAGTGACTTCAGAGAAAGTAATGCAGCAAAGCCCAGGTAGAAGAAGAGAGAGAGAGAGAGAGGAGATTTTTAAAAATGAATATGCAATTCAAGATAACCTGACACCATCAAGAAAACCAACCTAAGAATAATGGGTGAAGGAACTGGGGCCTACAATGGGAGCTGGGCATGTCTCCGAGTTGGCCAGGGTCCCAGCCAAGGGGCTCCAACTCACCTCCATGCAATCTAAGCCAAAGACCAGGGGTTGGGGCTGGGCATGCCTCTGCATGGGGTTTCAGGGGGCACAGGACCCACCTTCACAAGGCTGGGTCCACCTCCAGATGACTGTAGCCATAGGGACCAGGGGTGGAAGCTGGGCTTGATTCCAAATGGCCCAGGTGTTGGGTTAGGGGCACCAGGCCCCATTTCCATGTGAGCTGGTGGTGAGTATTAGGCATGTGGGCCAAAGTGAAGGGTCTCTGCTTCACTCATTTTTGGGCAAGGCAGCCATAATTCAGGCACTCCTGCTGCAGGCTTTCAGGGTCTCACCTCCATAAGCGAGCTGAGAGGGACAAATCAAGCCTTAGCCACAGTCACGATCAGGGCTACATCCAAACAGAACATAGTCAGAACCATGGGAGATAAGACCACAGGACATGCTGGTGTGCACACCTCTCACATGAGCTCCTTCTATATCCCCAGGGTCTGAGGGAACTAAACCTCTGGTCCAGAGATGAATGCAACCTGAGTGAGGCTTACTTCTTTTCCAACTAGGAGAGGAAAACATCATATCTGTGACTGGAGACTCAGGGCAGGACTGGAAAACACAGAGACCGTCTGAGTTCTTCACCCATGCGCACAATTGCAAGACTACTCAGGCTCAGAGAACAACAACAATGGGATTTATTTAACAAACCAAGGAAAAACAAAGTTATTAAGGCCAAAAGAAGCCACTTACCACACCCAAAGCAGTGTCCAGTGTTTTCAAGTCCTAAACAAAAGCAGCTAAGATGGTGTCTTCTCACCACTGAGGACACAGAGCGTCTCTCCTGAACAATAAATGGTGCTGGGAACATTGGACTGCCACCTGCAAAAGAATGAAATTATACCATCATCTCATATTATACATGAAAATCAACTCAAAATGAATAAAAGACTTGGATGTAAGACCTGAAACCATTAAATATATCAAAGAAATCATGGGCAAAATACTTCACGGCATAAATCTCAGAAACAAATTTGTAAACTCATCTCAAGCAGCAAGAAAATAAAGGAAAAAATAAACAATTGGGACTATATCAAACTAAAAAGCTTCTGTGTAGTGAAAGAGGCAGTGACCAAAACAGACACCTTACTGAATGGGAGAAAATATTTGCACAACATGAATCTGATAAGGGATTGATATCAAAGATCTAAAGGGCATTTATACAACTTAATAAAAAAAAATCAAAACTGGGCAGAACAGCTAAATAGGCACTTCTCCAAAGAAGACATGAAGATGGCCAAGAGACATGAAAAAATGCTCATCATCATTTATCATCAGAGAAATATAAATCAAAACCACTACAAGATATCGCCTAATATTTGTGGGAATGGCCCAGTTAAAAAAAAAAGCAAAAAATCCGACAAACAACAAGTGCTGGTGAGGGTGTGGAGAAAACGGAAACCTGATGGGAATGTGGGCTTGTCTAGCCTCTCTGGAAAGAAGTGTGGAGATTCCTCAAAAGACCAAAAATGGATTTACCACATGACCCAGCAATTACACTCCTCAGCATCTATCCAAAGAGCACAAAAACACTAATTTGAAAGGAAACCTGCCCTCCTATGTTTACAGCAGCTCTATTTACAATGGTCAAGATATGGTAATAACAAATGCCCCAGAACTGATGAGTGGATTGAGGTGTGCTACATGCACACAAAGGACTACTACTCAGTAATGAAAAAAGATAAACTCGTGCCATTTGTGGCAACATGGATGGAAGTGGAAGGGATTATTCTTTTTATTTAATTTTCAGTTATATTTTTGCATTGTTGTTCATTGTTTGATTTCTCCTCTCAGGTGTAATCCCCATAAAATTACCACCACCGCCACACCTGTAAGCTGTCACTATAGTCTCTTGTGTTCTTCCCTCCCCTGATTTTCCCCTTCCTTCTCCCTCCCTCCCCTGCTGAATGTCTCTGATTTGCTGTTCGCCTGCTAGTTTTGTTTTTTTTTTCCTGATCCCTTGTATGGTTTCCCTATGTTCCTCCTATAAGTGAAAGCATTGATATTTTTCTTTTTCCTTCTGACCTACTTTGCTGAGCATAATCTGAAAGGATTATTCTAAGCAAAGTGAGCCAGAAGGAGAAAGATAAATAACCAGATGGCTTCACTTATAGGTGGAATCTAGAGACACTAAACAAAGGATCCAACAAAAATAAACTGTAAGACTGACCCTGGAAAGCACATCACAGCTCTGAGACACTCAGGGTGGCGGGGGAGGGGAGTGGGACTACTCAGGCTCAGAGAACAACAACAATGGGATTTATTTAACAAACCAAGGACAAACAAAGTTATTAAGGCCAAAGGAAGCCACTTACCACACCCAAAGCAGTGTCCAGTGTCCACATGCTGGGATGTGGTGAAGGAATGTGGACACTTTGGTGGAAGGAGAACTATGATGACTGCACCTGAGGGGAGAAATCCTATATTGTGAAAAAAATAAGCAAGGATATTTTAATACATAAATAATAAATAAACAAGGCCGTATGCGACAAACCCACAGCTAACATCATTCTCAATAGTGAAAAACTGCAAGCTTTTCCTCTAAGATGTGGAACACGACAAGGATGTCCACTTTCACCACCACTCTTCAGCATAGTACTGATAGCTACAGCAATTAAGCAAGAAAAAGATATGAAAGGAATCCATATTGAGAAAGGGAAACTATTACCACGCAAAACCCTAAGGACTCCACTAAAAAACTAATTGGAAAAATAAATCAGTAAAGTGGAAGGTCACAAAATTAATTTACAAAAATAAGTTGTGTCCCTACATGCAAACAACTGACTAGAAGAGAAAGAAATCCAGAAAACAATCCCATTTCCATTTCATCAAAAAGAATTAAATACCTATGTGTATACTTTACAAAGGTGGTGAAGGACCTGTACAATTAAAACTGTAATAGGATGGTCCCCAGGAAAGGGGGAGATTCCAGATTCCCTGCCCCACCCAAACGGAGGGTGGAGCTGAGCAGGGAGAGAAGAAGCTGCAGAGGAGACTGAGGAAGGAAGAAAGCAGGATGGAGATCCAGAAGGAGACCTGGAGGAGGCACATGGGGCCTAGAGACACGTGAAGAAACTGTGCTTGTCTTTTGGTCATGGACTGGGTGACACAGATGTGGGTGAGATCCGTGGGGAGGTGACAATGGCAGCTTTTATCTTGATTTTTATTTTGCTCTTTTCCTTCCAGGCGTGTCTGGTTGTTTCTGATCCTTTTCTGTGGGTCCCCACT